ACAGGCTGAGAGCCTGAAAAAGTGCAGGCTCAGGGGTGATCTGATGGCCACATACAAGTTTATCAGGGGTGACCACCAGCATCTGGGGGAACGTTTGTTCACCAGAGCGCCCCAAGGGATGACGAGGTCGAATGGTCACAAACTACTTCAAGATCGTTTCAGGCTGGACATAAGGAAGAACTTCTTTACTGTCCGAGCCCCCAAGGTCTGGAACAGCCTGCCACCGGAGGTGGTTCAAGCGCCTTCATTGAACACCTTCAAGATGAAACTGGATGCTTATCTTGCTGGGATCCTATGACCCCAGCTGACTTCCTGCCCTTTGGGCGGGGGGCTGGACTCGATCTTCCGAGGTCCCTTCCAGCCCTGATGTCTATGAAATCTATGAAATCTAATCTAACCAAATCTAAAATGCAGGTCACTTCAAATGTACATGAAGGGGAAGAAAAGGGGTTTGAACAATCTGTTCTCTAAAAGTAAAAGAACATACTTTACCATAATTACTTAAAATGGAAGGTATTATTAAGATTGCCAAGCACAGCCCACTCCTCCAAAATTTCAACCAGGTTTCATTTGCATTTGTAAGCATCTGAGTTTCAACACAGCCTACAGTACAAAGGACTGTGAGGGTCTGATTTGGTTTCAAGAAAACCTGCTCACTCTGAGGATAACACTATCCAAGTCATCAGTACAGATATGAGCACAATAGCTGAGGCATCCCACTGTGGTCAAGAAAAAAGCTAGGTATCCAGCGTGAAAACCAGCAAGAAATTAGAATGAGACAAAATGCGACCGAAAGTTGCATAATTTTTCTACACTTTCCCAGTTTAGGGGACAGCTAAGGCATTTGTGTACAAAGATACTCTACCAGTACAATCTACTTGCTCTTTCAGTTTAATGCTTCTATTAAATGATTATTTTTGGTAATGCAAGTAAACATTTAGAGCTTGACACAACACCGAGTTGGACAGAGACAAGGCTGATGATAAAAGGCTCTATCAGCATGACATGAAACAGCAGAAAAATATGCAAGTTTTAATTTTGGTTTTAGAAAAATATTATGGAGGTTTCTTACTTCTGTTTTGTCTTAAGATTGCCAATGGCAAGAGTGGCTTTCTAAGGTCTATAATAAAGGAATGATCCGGGCATTCTCCACCAGTCAAAATAAACCACCAGCACAGTGTGATGGGAAAAGTGCATTAGAAACTTACAATTTATCTCCGACGCCGTTCTTTCTGCTCTAACATTCCTGTTTGTAGAGCGAATCGTATGGCGAATAACAGAGTGGGGCTGCAAGAGTTAGAAGCAGATCCATTACAATTAAGTTAGATGACTCCGAACAGAATTCTGAGACAATAATCAATCAAGAAAGAAAAAGAAAAACTATTAAAATACCAAGCTCTCAAGCAGATTTCCATTTCCTAGCCAGAACACTTCTTCTGCACATGCATAAGGCCCATGTCCTCTGTAGCAAGCTTGACACAACTTACGTGGCAAGGCCTCCCAGCTTCTACAGCATTACTGTGCTGCAGACTAAACTGTAATTGTTCTTGAAACTATGGAGAAGGGCTCCCACCAAACCAGCGTCTTAGTTTACACAGTGAAATCGGAGTAAGTTTTCAACATCAGGCGCTCCAAACTAGAAAAAAAATACAAGTAAGCCCTCACCTCAAAATCATCATCATCAGCTTCACTGTAGTGTGCGTGGTTGTCAGGATTATTCACTTTGTCCAACAGCTCGACTGCTAGAGATCTTGAAAGACCAGGCTGGCCTACAAAACTATGCTACAATCGCAAACAAAACACAACACATTACCATGTTCAGCCTTTAGAAATGTCCCTTCCCTGAGCCCCCAGTGAAAGTACCCCAAATCAATATTTTTTATGAAACTTCATAGCAACGACAGCTTTCAGCAAATGTGACTATTTGTTTAATGTCTCTGAGGCCAATACACTTCCAGCACACTGTGTCAATTTAGGTTGCGCACGATGGGTCAGCTGTAATCAGACATTAAGCCCTGACACACAAACACTTACTTGCTTAACTTCACACACGAGCTGTTCCAGTGAGTTTAATGAGACTTTTTATGTACAGAAAAATCCGTTTCTGAGTAAATCTGTTCTAAATTTGCATTAGGGTGGACAAATATCCCATCTGTGTAGTGATTTCCACCAAATCTGGGCACCATTTTCTAAAAGGTTTGTCCAGTTAGGACAAGATTCCCCTTGGTGTGCGGGCAAAGATCTCAACACCAAATACAATCCTTCGCTTTTCATGCCAGCTGATTTTCATGTTTGCCGAGTTTTCACCATTAAGCACACGCATGGAATGATAAGCTAATTAAACAGTCCTCATCTGGCACACTAATGACCTGTACACTCTTTGAAGAAATAATTAATTTCTTGGTGCTGCTACAAGATCTAACTTTTTTTATATAAAGATACTTACAGTAAGGAGCCTGTCTGCTGTTGGTCTCTTCTTTGGATTTTTTGTAAGTGCTATTTTCACAAAATTATGGAATGTGGATGACCTTTAAACAAATAAGGCAAAGCTTGATTTTTATTAAAAAGTATTTAATTTTAAGTTTTCTGGAAAGGAAACAAATAGTTTATTTTCAATATAGTTGCTACACAAGCTATAAACTTCCATCTGCTGAAGCAGATTCTTGCTCAAATATCCCAAGGCATTTCAGATTTGTACCATCCTGCTGCTCAGTTAACTAGCAAGAGATTTGTGCTACATTCACTTGAGTTACAATAAAAACATTTTGAAATAGCATATTTACTAAGCTCAAAACAGATATTGTCACTCTGGAAAAGTGGTCAAATGCCAGACTGCAACTGAATTCTTCTGGAATTACACAGCTGAAGTAACAATAATGCAGTGAATTACATACACCGATAACCCACAAATCTAGGGAAGTCTAGCACTCCCATTCTCCCAGGTCACCAGGAAGAAAATACAATGCTCAACAGTGAAAGATCAGGAGAGAGAATCAGCCCCTTCTTTTAAAACCTAGGGTTGAAATATTCAAAGCAGTTCAGATGACTGAACACGACACCATTTCCTTTTAAAATAATGCAAGACTGAAGGCTGTGATCCCTGGACATAAAAGTTTTGCTGTTTTTGTTCTGTTCAGTATATCTTTCAGAGGATGTATTTAAATCAATTCTGGTCATTCTCAGGACATACTGCAATACGTATCCATCTTTTCTCCCAGGTGCTTGAAAGCGAGAGAGAATTGTGGGGGTGAAGGTTTGTTGCAGGAGTGATAGCCATGGCAGTGGGTTGGACTGAACTGTACTACTGTAACGTGCTTTTAAGTTATGGTAAAGGTGCGCAGGTTTATGGACAGGTCCACTAAGCATATGCACAAAAGTAAAAGTTACTTTGAACCAAAAATGGTTGGGGTGGGGGAGCAAATTTAAAACCTGTGCACCCTAGCAAACAAAACCCCGGCAGCAAAACTTCAGAAAATGACATTTATCCCCTTTAATAACTTTGCTGTAATAGGATCTTTACCCAATTTTGTTGCTAATACTTTCATCTTTAGACAGAAACAAACTGTTCGGCACTTGAGCTCTGTAGTTACAAATACATTTTTTTCTGCCTACATTATTACAGTGCTTATTTCCAAGGATTTGAGCAGTTAAATACAGTTTAAACTCATTTAAATGTAACAAAATCAAATAAATGGCATCCCATTATTTTATAAAGAAGGGCATAAATAGGCCCAGAGTATCTGCATCTCTGTTCTGGGTACAAACAGGTCTAAAATAGCTTGTCTTGCTAAAAAACAAGGTTGCAAGGCTAATTCCCGAAGAAAAGGTCCTTCATACCAGTAGTCTTTTGTGTTTCTAAAAGATGCTACCGAGCATAGTAACAGCGAATAGAAATAATGAATATTGAACAAATAATAGAAACAATGAATCTACAGTTAAAAAATTCAGAGGAAAGTGCAAGTTCAGAGAGGTGCGTTTCTTGAGAGAATGCCATGTCCAGCGTACTGTAACAAGGTAATTAAGAAAAAAAATTGCTTCCTGATGCATGCAACAGGTGTCTCAATACAAATGCCTCATTTGCAAGAGAACCAGCTTTCAGATGAATGGGATGAAAGCTAGTGCATACAATTATCACTGGACTTCTCCTTCTATAAATTAAGATGCAGTTAAGTCCCATTTTTAGAGAGAAATCATTCTTTAAAACAATCAGCAGTGAATTACATGTAATAAAACCTTTGGGGATTGAAAAATAATGAGGAGCTTTTGGTCACTGCAGAAGTCAGAGCCTCATTCTGAGAAAAAATGTGTCGCAGGCAACCTCTGCTTTCATTCTGGGCCTCTGAATGCCCTGGGGAGTCCACTCCCATAGTTCACAATGCAGGACCTAGGCCTCTTGTTAGAATAATATTTCATTTGACAATAGAAAACAACCTGGCCGCAATCCTATCAAGAATTTTGGCAAATGTGCAACTTCCCTGAACTCAAACAGACTACAGATGCATATGAAATGACAATGCAGGCTAAACGTTTGAAGGATCACAGCACATGCTCATAAACGGTTGACATAAATATGGATTCATATGATCTTTACAGATTGTATTGAAGAAAGGAAAGATTTTTTTTATTTCAAAACTTACCATTTTGCTTTCTCCTTTAGCTTTGGAGGTTGAAAATTGCTTTTTGACATTAAAAATAAGGCCCTGAGGGAAAAGAAGCATAATAAAATTATACAAAAAATTATTGGCATATTTTGCTTTAATAGCTAAAATGCTATGTACGGATACTGTACAGGCAGTCCTCAGACTTACGACACAATTGGATCCTGAAAACCGTGTCTTAAGTTGAAACGTTGCAACTCGGAACTGAGTTTCCCATAGGAAAATATGTTACAAATGGGGGATTGGTTCCTGAACCAAGGCCCGATACCCTATTTTCACCAAAAATAACCCAGAATTTTGTACTCAATCAATTATAGATGAGTAATATAGCTACATAACCTATTTATATTGTAAATAGCAATCATATTGATTTGGAAGGACTTCTTTGAGGTGACTTTGGTGGACTGTTTGAAAGGCTCTTGGCTGGAGTCTTCTCAGGAGTCCTGGCTGCAAGTTTTTCTGGAGTCTGGTCTGCTTTCTTAAAGAAAGTGTCCAAGGAAGTCTGGACAGATGTTCTCCAGGGGGATGGGCAACGCAGCAAACTTGTTCGCTGGCACAGCGCTGCGTCGGATCAAGCGTTGTAAAGTCAAAACTAACGTCAGACAGTTGAAACAGGGTGTCAATTTAGAAACGCTGCAAGTGCTATTGGTTGTAACTCAAAGTGTTGTAAGTCGAGGACTGCCTGTACACTAGTTTTATTCTACCATGAGAGTTTGAGCTGATGAGGACTGAAGACCAGTTACACTGAAAAACAGGTTTTGTAAGAAACAAAATAAAGCCAGTCATATTCTTATTTGTGGACAATGTTTTTTCAATGAAAATATATTTAATTTTCATGTTGAACCATGAGCTACAAGTCAGTGTACAGTGATGCTATTGCACATTTTCTACTCACATCAACGTGGACACTAAAATGCTTATATAACATTAAATCTTTAAGGTTCTGATTTTTGAATCTCTATCCAAGTCTTCAAAATTAACACTAGGTATTTTTAAAAAAATTAATTATAGCTCAATGACAAAATAGGGCCTTGGTACAGGGGTCCATGTAGGAGCTTTTAAGGCCCAAGTTATGCAGAAAGTCAGGCTATAATAAAATGACTCTTTTTGGCCTAAAAAAACCAAATTAAAAATATTTAAAACAAGTACTCTTAGTGATCAGCAGACCTCATTGGATGAAGATCAAACATGGGTGGCTGAAGCTCTGCCAGTTCAATTGCTGTTATGCCAACTGCCCAGATATCACAGAGCTGGTTGTAACCGCCATTCTTTTCCACTGCTGCAACTTCTGGAGCCATCCTTTAAATGCAAAACCAGCATCAGTCATCCAGCACGGAGACAGAATACTACCATGTCTCTATCCCAGGATCTCACAGCACTTTACAGCATTATGAAGGGATTTATTCCAGTGCAATAGACCCACACAAAGAATAGAAGGAAGGCAAAAGCCTGATGCAACCACCCAGCCCTGGGATAAAGGCACACAGAGGTTAAGTGTCTGCTGCATAGCAGCATCAGAAATAAAATCCGAGTCCTGTATTTCCTCCAAGCTCTCACCACAAGACAATCTTTCATCCTTTAGTCTTTTTTCTCCTCCGCAAAGTAAAATGTAGCATAAAATTAAGAAAAAAAGTGATTGTTTGAATTAAGATTTAAATCTGTATTCAAGTCTATGTTATGACTAATAGACTAATGAGGTGTAGCAGTGCCTCCATTCAGTATAGTTATATTAGCATTTTTAATTCAACCTGCAATTTATGAAGTTTAGCATGCTCTGTTTTGAAGACATAGAAACACTAGCAGCAAGATCGTTTTTAAACAAAAATAGCTGAAATGTGCCTCTGCTGTAGGGCACTTCCTGGTTGGTGGAAACCCAGAAACCTACATTTCTGTTTTGACAGACTGAAAAGAAAAAAAGATTTAAGGATTTGGGTAGATGCGTGACTATATGTACATGCATCCCTATTAACAATCTTAGGCCACACTCTAACAGGTGTTGTGATTCTTCTTTAAAAAAATAGAAACCAACCCCCCCCCCCCCCCCCAAACAAACAAACAAATAAAGCAAAACTCCCTGTTATTCCCCTTTAATATAAACAGCATTAGTAGTGGCAAAAGGAGAGAGAGAGCAGAACACTGAGCCCTTCCCGTCTTCCCAACCCCAACAGTGCATGGAGCAAGAGCGAAGACATACAGCATCGATTTAGACTGGCAAAGGTGTCAGCTGTCCCTGTGTCAGGAGATTGCCCACTGCATCGGTCCCTGGACAAGCTGTAGCTGAGTTTGTCCCGGAAGAGAAATATCCCAGGATTGGTGTGTATACACATTGCCCTTCTAATCAGGGTTTAATGAGCCCTGCCACTTTTCTAGCATCAGTTCAGCAATGCAACCCTGGGAAAACTGTTCAGATGTGCTTTATGATAGCCCAGGAAAAACGGTTCGCACTTGTTATCCCATGAACCCTTTTCCCAGCATTTGTTCTGGGACAACTACCATGGCCATCTGCATGATAGTTCTTTGTCCTGGCATAAAATGGTTTCTCCCAGGACAAATGCGGCATCTGTTCGTAGCCTTACAATATTACCAAAAAACTAAATTATAGTCCTGTATTTCCCAAATTTATGACTAATCCATTTGATCTTTAAAAAAAAAAATCTTGTAATAATTTTCTTTAAGTTATCTATTTTTAGACTCTTTGGCATAATTTGTAAATACAACCACAACTTTGCACGTCACAATTTTATTAATCAAAGTAAAGTATTACCAATAAGGGGTACCAATAAAAGATTTTCTCTTCGCAATGGTGGCTGTTATTTTTGCTGCTACACCAAAGTCAGCTGCAAAATAAAATTCATGAAAAAAGACACAAAAACACTAACATTCTGCATTTTCATTTCACATTCAAGGTCACAGAAAGAAACATTGTTTCATGAAACATATACATGTCTAGGAAAAAACATTAAAATAACCACCTCCACCCGTCAACAACATAAAATTTATGGGGATTTTTGGGGTTTGGGTTTTTTTGTGGGAGTTTTTGGTTGGTCTGGGTTTGCTTCTTCCTGCTTTTTTTTTTTTTTTGTTTAACTTTTTTTTGGCAGGCCTGACAATTAAAAGCTTGGTTGTTGCAGACAGCCTCACCATCCCTCCTCCACTTTATTGCACAGTAACTCAATGTTGCAGTAAGCCACTATTTTAAGCAATATATTTTGGAGGAGAGATAGAGAGGACTGGAATCATGGTTCAGAGACCACGCTGTTTCTGGATTAAATATGAGGGAATAATGAGGAGGCTGCTTGGTTCTTGCTGTTGACATGGCTAAACAGCGGTGCCTTAGTCTGAAGGTACAGATAATCTGCATCAAATATACGGCCCTGTAGATAATTTCCCCCTACGTGCAGATCCAAAATGAATGCAATTCCAACTCTGTTTCAGCTATATGAACATTATGGTAATTCAAGGATTGGGAGGGGCACATTGCAGGCAATATATGGTTGGCTCGTAAGTAGAAAATGAATATCAGTGTAATCAGAGTTTAAGTAGGTAATGGGAATGCAAGAATATTTTTTCTAGGCTTTCAGTTCTTCCCAACTATTAAAGCCCTGTTATCGTAATACGTTATCTCCTCACAGCCATAATGGAGAAGTACATTTAGCCCCAGCGCTTTACAGAGTGGCAGCTAAAACCGGACACGTAGACAATTCTCCCAACTCCAACATTTCATAAACGAAGAAGATAAATCTTTCGGCTCTTCTAACAGCCCCTCATTTCCTCTCCATCTCAAAAGCCCTATTGACAGCTAGGGTTTCATGGGGAGAGCCAGAGAAAGGTCAGTCAGTGTGGCTCTGTGAAGACAATACTTGCAGAGAACAAGAGTTCCTGTTGGTAAGTAGCCCATTTTTCCTCCCTTGTGACATTGCCTCTACAGAGCCTCTTGGAGGAAATTAATAATACCCATTCTGATACCATGCTGTTCATCAGTAGATCTCAACACACTTTCCCAAACAGAGTAGCAAAGTTATGCCCATTTTACAGAGGGGGGCGCCCAGCATAGAGAAGGGAAATTACTCGCCCATGGTTACCAAGCAGGCCAGTGGCAGAGCAAGGAGGAGCCCCAGGTCTCCTGAAGGGCAAGTACCTTCCTCCCCCGGTAAAACAGAAAGCATCAGATGCGCATGGGGGATCCCTGCAGGCTCCCAAGCAACTTCAGGCATCAGCATTAAGATTAGTAGCAAACAGCTCCATACCCAGCTAACTTCCCGTTGGAAACGTCACACAAACCCATCAACGGTTTGCCCCAGCATGAAGTACAGAAATAAACCCAAGGGGCTGCTTAGTGAACTTCAAGTGTCTGTACACATGCATATATATACGCTCCAGGTGCCACTTACTGCCCAAAAGTTACGTAGCTACATGACAAAGCACACAAATCCTATTGCCTGTATCCATACTGGTATACAAAAGCTGTTGAACTGTGTTTCATTGCCTCTGACAGTGCAGTATGTATTTGCTATACCTATTCTATTCAGCGAAATACAAGATAGAGTATTCATGCTAGATACTCTGCTGGGGGAACCAACCTCCTTCACCTAGAGCAGTATAGTTTCCAGAGGCTTTCTATAAAAAAGTGATCAAAATGAGGTCTTGGGTAACTCCAATGTCAGTATAAAAGGAGTTTCACTAAAACAAAGTGTTGGATTGGGTGCCATTACTTCCTGTCCTTCAAATGGTTTAATTAAAAAAAGGCCTCCTTCACTGTTTTAATAATAAAACAGGTAAATCCCATAACTTACCTAACTTCACATCACCATGGTCTGTTAGCAGAATATTGGCACCCTGAAACAAAACATGCAAAGAGTTGATATGCTAAAATAACGTCAAATGAGTGTCCAGATTACAAGTATTAAGTTACCTTTATATCTCTATGCATTTTGCCTTTTACGTGCAAATAAGAAAGACCCTAAAAGAAGAAAAAAAAGCATGTGTCAGGTTTGCCATATGAAAATGCTATAAAATGCAGCACTTCAGAAACAATTTTTAATACTTTAACCTCAATGTGTTTACATTCATTATTGAGAAGATTCGTTTTTCAAGAACCTGAGGGCCTGGCTTCTGTTCCTCATCTCTTCCAGTTCCAGCATGCACACACGCACAGACTTGTTTAAACAAGTTTATGAACCAAATCTTTCCTTCAAACATAATTTTAGCTTCAAAATGTGTCTCTGTATTAACAGTCAATTTCAACAAAGCAAATTTATTTCAGAAATCTAGAAAGCTTTCAGCCAAAGTTTCTAACCTTGGAAATCTAAACCTTTTTTCAGCTCATAAATAAAAGTGAATGTGTTGTCAGCAGTGTTCAGCATTTGAAACTCATTGAAAGTCAGAACAAATCCTGCAACATTAGTCCTGTAGCACCAATAGAACTGAACTGCCAGATCAGATTAGCTCCCCATTCCACATCCCTGCCTCTGGCAGCGACCAATTCGCCCAATGCTTCAGGAACAAGTGAGGGTCTTTATGAAAAGTGCAGGGATGGTAACATTTCTACCTGACACAAAAACACCATCAGCTTAGACCCTGAAATACAAGGTTACACTGTATTACCCTAACTTGTATGTTTATAATGATTAGTAATCAGAAAGCAAACCAGAACATTGGCAGCCCAGCCATACCATTTTTCCTCTCTAAATTTTAGAATTCAATCCCACAGATCAAGCATAGAGGGCAAAATATTTCCTTTTACTGTTCAGCTCCCTGCTCTCACCTTCTCGGAGTGAGCAATGTCTGCAAGGAGATTCAGAAATTGGTCCTAAACACCGGCTTCATTGTTTGACCGTGCCACTTTACTAACTTATACAAACAGATCAATAATAAGGGCCCAGACCTACAGACTTGCACATGTGCCTTAGCTCAGGGCTGTCCATCCTCTAATTAGCTGGGGCTGCATGATCCACAGGCCTCACAAGCAGGGGCCATACCAGGGAGAGTCACAAGCCCCCGAGGCTGCATGCTGCAAACCATGCACCCATGTCGATGCTCCCCCACAGCCCTGCACCATGCACAGGTGCCCCCCTTATCACTGCACCACACACCCCCAGCCTCACCCTGAGCTCCTTGCACCACCCCACTCTATCGCCTGGGGCAAGCAATGGGTGGGCAGATGGGGGGGCAAGCATACAGGGGGTGCAAGCACTACGGGCGTGGGGGCAAGTGGTAGAGGACAGGTGGCAAGCGGATGGAGGGGGGCAAGGTGCGAGGGTCAGTCTGCCTGTCCCCCGTGCTGCTGCTTTCCCTTAAGTTTGCCCTCCTGCCACTGCTTTTCCCACAGCAGCAGTGGGAGGATGAATTTAAAAGTACCCTTCATTCTATATATTGTAAAGGATCCACGTCTAGAATCTAATTTAGAAAGGGGAGCATCTTAAATTCGAAGTCATCTTGGATTCAAGTAAATACAGTTACTTCAGTGCAGCCAATGGGACTATTCAAATTAAACAGGAGCAGGACTGAGGCTTAAGATTTTGATCCTGAAATGTGATTCATACAGACAGACTTACCATGTGTAAATCCCTTTGCAGATTAGGGCACATTAGGAGCTGACAGGTGAAACAATGCATTGAAAATTATTGACTTATTTATTGCACTACCTGACAGTAGTGTCCTGCTAAGGCAGCTAATACTTCAAAAAGGAGAACTAATTTGCTAGCCCTAATTAACTGGTTTCATTCTTGCTGTATTCCAAGGGTTTACACATTTAGGTGACGAGACAGCACCCCCTTCTGAAGTCATCTCCCACACAGAACAGGGACATCATGGTGCATTTGCGGAGGTACTGTACCTGCAAAGTTTCTCTGCAGACATATGCAATTTGTAACTCTGCCAGCGGTCCTGTTACTGAAAACAGAGATAACATCAAGTCTATGAGTTGTAACGTCCAGTGCAGATACGCTATTGTAAAGCAGTCAACAGAAGACAGCAATATGCCACTTAAAAAAAACTAGAGCCTCTACTTAAAATATGGTTTGTTTCAAGAAATAAACTGCAAACAGTTTCAGGAGCTATTCTTATGAAATGCTGTAAGTGGTTTGATAGCCACATTTTTAAAGAGTTCTTATTATTTTAAAAGAAACCTCACTCCCCAACACACACGCTTTTTCCAGCACAAACCACTCAAGATAACTGACAATACAGGCAAAGCTGTAAAACTGGCTATGCTTAAAATGCCCTTAAATGCACAAAGTAAATAAAGCTGGAAAGAAAAGTCTCTGCTCTCTGTCAGGCACAGTAATACAAGGCATTTACTTGCAACAAGAGGAAAACATCTGCCAAAGAACACAGAAGTAAAACATTTTCAGACAGAAGTTTTTTTTTAAGTTGGTGTCATTTTACAAGAGACATGTTCATAATTCCGTGTTTGTGCCCCGTAGAGACAAAAAGCAACAAAGACATATTCTGCCAGTTGTTTTTTGTTTTTAATATTACACATTCATATGGTTTTCACCCTGGAAGACTATGGAACGGAAGACTGTTTAAAAATCTGTTTGCTTTAACAGCTATTTATCCTATATGAACCAACTGAGAAATGCATGAGAGAATACATCTTTGCCTTAGATTCAAAATCTCCTCCCCTTCAGTTAGGGTCTGAAAAACTGCACAGTCCGCACAGTCCTCCAACAATACTGTCAGCAAAATCAATGAAGATCACAGCTGACATTTCTGAGACGGAGAACACCCGCTAGCCTGGGGTTCCCGCTGCCACCATCCAAGGCAGATTCTCAGATTCTTTATCAAGCATAAAGAAAGGAAACAAAAGACAGATCTTTTGTCCTTTGAAAATCTGAGTTTAGGTTTTCCTAGGAAAGTTAGCTTAACCACAACATGCAGTCTCACCAAGTCAACAATTACTGATCTACCAGCAATCGAACAGCACATTTACAAGCTGGGTGACTGCAAGTATGAGAACTATGATGCTTGCATGCCACGAGTTCCATTTAAAAAAAAAAAAAAAGTCACTTAATTGACGCAAAAAAGGACCTTTCTGCATAGAAATAGTTTTTAGAGGCTGGAAGGGACCTTACGGATCATCAGGTCCAGCTCCCCTGCGCTTGGGTAGGAAAGACTGCTAGAGTGGCTTGGACATGGGGGCTTACTTATTCCAAGGTGACACTATTTCCGAGTCTCAAAATATGACACTGTTCACACCCCCTACTACTCTGGCATGTTCAGCTGTCTCCAAGCTTCAGTCTCAGCTGAGTGCAGGTGCACGGTGCTGCAGGAGGCAAGCAACCCCCTCCCACTTCCCCTGGCTGGAGAGTGCTGCTTTGTCCTGTTTTTAGCGAGGTTTAAAATAGGACTGGCCCAGCAAAAAATGGGATGTATGGCCATCTTCCTTATTTCTTTTACTTAAAAAAAAAAAAAATAACCGTGCACATACAGTAGCATTTAAGGGTCTCAAAGGCTTTGAAGTTAGCTCTTCATTGAGATGAGACTTCTACTGTTGTGTCCCAGCAACAGTCCCCAAGACCATCAGAAGTCAGTGGGCACTGTGCTGTCAAAGGAGAAGTGAGGTTTCAATACAATACAATGCATGCCATGCAGAGACAGCAGGCTGGGTCCCAAAACTACTGTGGCGGTACCAGTACAGCGCTTCACCTGGACTGACAAACCCAAACTGCCAGTTAGTTAGCATGCATATATTTCTATAAGAAGTTGCATTGCGACTTATAGACATACGCACATTTCTCTCTCTCAGAACTAACTCCTCAAATAAGAACTATTAACTTGTAAAGCCAACAAGTGATTTCAAATTTAAAAAGCAAAAGCCCCCCAAAACTCAATACTGAATACTCAATTTTGTATGTTCTCCATTTAAAATGGCCAGAGAGGTTTTTCCTAAGCTTTCATAAAGGCCCACCTAAAATGACCATCCTGTGGAGTCAAACCAAGTGTGAGAAGTTCTAATAAGGCAATTTCTCAGAAAATTCTCATGTTAAGATCGGGGGGAAATGTTATACTAAGATTTTCACTAGCAATCATTTTAAGGATTTAGCTGCTAATATAGGGAATTAAGTTTCTATTTTTTATAGGAGCTGAATTCATTATCTTCTGCTCATTTCACTGCATGTTGTGATTCAATTAAATAGCTTCCACAGTGCTGTAATTATTTGTGTGCTCTATTTATATGTAAAAATGCCTAATTTGCTTTATTGCATTAGAGAACATGAGTCACAATTTTCAGCCCGTTGCTTGTACCTTAACAAACACAGGTTATCTGCCTATCACTTAAGTGCATAAACCACAAAGTGCATTTTTCTGTCTCACCATCTAGTTTGCAACTACCTTCTGTTTAATTGCACAACATTAGGTTGGGCAAGTGTGCTCTCTGGCAAGTGCACAACCTTCGCTTTCAGTTCTGGGGCTCCCCACTTTAATCTAAATTAGCTTTACATTTTTTTTTTTAAATGGAAAGTATAAAATGACAGCATATGAATGCCAAAAGAGTCTCTTTTTGTGAAGAATCATTACCAAATGTTGTGGAGACTTCAGTTTTAATAAAATACCTGTTCACTCTAGTAGATTGTGCCAACAAATTACCGTTGAAACAACTCTTTACTGATCTGCTCTCACATTTTCTTTGCTTGTAACTTCAAAAAGGTGCAAATATAGAAGTTTCAAATTACCGTGATATATGTCTTGAAGTGATCCACCTCCACAATATTCCATACATATCCACAGCTTTTCACGGCTATTGAAAAAAGCAGTTGAACAAAAATATCAGAAGTTGACTCATTTATGTCCCACAAGATACAGTTAATAACAATCATGATTTTCTGCTTTTATTATTTGTTAGATTGTTTTCCATTTTCTTGTAAAATGAAGAATTCTAGAGTTCGGATATGTTACAAAAACTAGTAACGCTTTGCACATATTTAATACATTTGGACCAATATGGTGGACTAACAGTTCTCACTCAGAAGTGTGAAAATCCTTACATGCCACATTCACTAAAAAATAACTAACTGCTGATCAGAACTGCAAGGTAGTTGCCATAACCTTGACCTTTTAGCTGACATAAAGGTCATGTAAAAATACAACTGAGATGTACATGCTATTAACCAAGTTATATTATATAAACATGTTCACTTTGTAGTTCCTGCTCTCAAAAATGTATTTTTTCAAAGCCCCCACTTCTCCACTGGAAGTTTTCAAAAGGGTGCTTGGCTGACAGGTTGAACTGTATAAGTCCAATTCAAATAATTTTGGCTTGCAACGCTTACTCTAAAAGTGGAACCCTCCAAGTAATGTTGAGATCAAGTTTCCTAGAACTGTAGAGTTGAGATGAAAGGGAAAAAGCTGAAAAATAACAATCTATATTTTCATAGAGCCCAATGATAAACTACAGAAGTCCAGAGGAATGGAAAATATTCTCCATATTCTTATATTAAATACGAATACTCAAAAAGGCAGAGAGCTGGCATGATCTGGTTTATTGCCTGGGTATTTCACAGCTGTCATACCACAGCCATGAAATATAACTACTGCCACAATTCAGATTTAGAGCATTTACCAACAACAACTTACTACGTCGACTTTTTCAAGCGACAGCGGTACCTTTAAATACGATCGATACCTGCACGCATAACTATTTAGATAAGTCACAAGCCTTTTTTATTTTATGTTATTAGCCTTTCAAACCTCTTCAGGAAGCTAGCTGAAGGGAAGGACTATTCCCGAGACACCAACGTTTGAGGCTGGATATATTGCAACAGTCTCTAGAGGAACAGGCTCTTGGCACCGAAGTATTCCATTCTTCTAGCCAGCGGAGATCATGCAGAATTAGTCACTGTTTTAAAAGGCAACTGGGAATCTAGGGACTGACTCTAAAGAGGACTGGGGACGGGGGACAAAAGCACTGGGGAGCATGCTGTCCTGGAGAAGAATCCATAGAAATACATGCACCAAAAGAGGTTTACCTGAGATAGCTCCCAAAGTAGGCTACAATATTGCAGTGCTTGCATTCTTTAACCATATATATTTCTTGCTGGATCAAGGAAAAGTCATCACCTGAAAAACAGAGATGGCATGAGTATGTTAACACCACACAAATACAGAATGGACAGGCAAATGAGGAAGGGGAGGAAATGGTCCTCAGTGGGACCAATCAGAGAATGTGCACATCATTAAGAGACGCCCTTGCGCTTGACCCTTCCCTAGGTCACCCCCCCGCCCCATGCCACTCGGTATCTGCTATCCACATAGCATTCTCTACCTTTTCTCCTCTTTGCACAGGAACAGAACCGTTTCTTGGAGGGCTGGGGAGAAGACCTGGTCTACAAGCCTAGTGGCAGCACGCTTGTGACCAAGGAAGGCATGTGCTCCATTTGCTTGCACGTCTACAAGCACACGGGGTGCTTTAGGGTGGCAGCCCTGTTCGGTCGCAAGCTGCCCTGGCTTCGTGCAAACAGCCCTAGTGGCCCTCGAGTCCTGATGGGGTCGGGAGAGGGCTCTTTCCCCTCCTTTCCTACTTCCCCAGAGGGCCTGGAGGACCCTGCTTTGGACCAGTGAGAGAAAGCAGACACTATAACGCAGGGACGGGCAATTATTTTGGCCGGAGGGACGCTTACCCAGGTTTGGCAGGCTGTCGAGGGCCCCAGACCCCTGGTCACCATCTTGGGCCCAACGTCCCAATGTCTTGGGACCAATGTCCCAGGGCCAGCACAGGTGGGGCCTAAAGAGGGGCACAGGCTGCCAAGAGTCTGTGGAGCCGGGCTGGGCTGCACCAGCAGGGAGGGGGGAGCTGGCCCGGCTCCATAGAGCCCCTGCCAGCTGGGGCCCTGTGCTCCTGCCACCCTGCTCTGGGTCCCACCAACACTGGCCCTGGGACACTGGTGCGGGCCCTGTGCTCCAGCTGGCTCCCTGCCCGCTCACACCCAGTGCAGCCCAGCCCCGCAGTACATGCAGGGTGCAGCGCTCAGCCCTGACCCCCTGCTCGCCAACAGGGAAGAAGCTGGTGCTGAGCATGGGGAAAAGCAGCCCCTCGCCTGCCCCATGGCCGGTGCCCTGTGCTGCAGCTGTTTGCAGCCCGTGCAAGGCTGTCCAAAGCAGGCACAGGCAGTCCCAGGCGGGCTGCA